ACAACTATAGGCAGGGTCGAGGTAAGCCAATCAAAAGACCGCCACAGGGATTTATAGTTTGCTTTACTGAATATGAAAACGCTAGTATAGAAATAGTTTCCTTGCCTGTGGGATGTAAAATACACTGGTCAACTTACTGCAGCTTAGCACAGAGACTGGAAACGGAGAAACTAGTCTAACCTGCCAACTAAGAGAGGTTAGGAGCAGCTTATGGTGCCAATTTGTTTTGAGCTGGACACTATCAGGTAGAATAGCTTTAAGTTTATGGTTGACCTGCCAGATGTGCTAGAAAACTGTGTAAAAATTCCCATTGCCTCATAATTCGTCCACAGTTCAGGTGCTTCTCTGACACTTACGCTGTAAACTAAGCCTTAATTTTGGTCAGTATCTGTAAAGGTTTGAGTTACAGCTTATGGTATCTGCATTTGTATTGTTATATGTACTGTCTGTGTAGTTGCCTGTCCTTACCCAGGTGATTATGGAGAAGAAGGAGAAGGCAATTGCTGCCCGGGCTGCATCCGCCCCCTGGTTGAGTGGCAGCTCATCAGCTGTGGTCTGAGACCACTGATTGGCCAGGAAGCAGAAACTTACAAAATACAGGAAGGTCCAGAAACCTGCCAAGAGCAGCAGAATAATGACACTGTTATAATGGTAGAAAAGAAAGATAATGTCCAAACCATAGCTCCACACAGAAATACACAACTGCAGGTGCTCATTTCTCAAATCCTAGTCACCTGAAGAGAATCTCCGTTCCTTTTAGAATACTCTCACTTCTCTAATGCCTTTTATATTTGTTTGCAGGTTTAATTTCTCTTGCTGGGCTGTGGTACAAGAAGGCAGTCATCTGAAACCCAGAAGTGGGCCTAGATCAGCTGCATATTTGGCAGCCTGGGGAAATCCAGCCTTTGAATCTGATCAATCATTATTAAAAACAACATGTGTGTCTCTGCCACGACAGGCTAATGATGATAGTCAGTACAAATCAGTTGTCTTGCACTTCCTGACTCTCAGCAAATTGTAAGAATTATGTCAAAAACTAGAAACAAAACTTCTTTCTGTCATGTTCATTTGCATGTGTGTGCACGTAATGGCTTCCTCACCCGAGAAGCCGATCTCAAGCATCACAGCCTTCTTCCTGTCTTTGACAGAACTGATGGAGGAGAACTTGTAGTCAAGCAAGAAGAAGAAGGAGCATGCCAGCAGGCCCACCAGGCCTACAAACACACCGTAGTTACAGGCGTCTGAATTCTTGTTGAACACGCAGTGGAGACGCTCGCTGCCTATGTTGACGTAGCCCTCGTTCACAATGGAGGCGAAGACCACTAGGGAAAAAATCTGTGGTTGAGGATGAAAGAGGAAGAGGTGAGGGAGGAGACAAGGGAGAGAAAACATGGAATGACGGAACAAGACAGAGGGAGGTAAGAGGGAGCAGAGGAAGGAAAGACAGAGAGATATCTGCCTAAACAATCATCGCATCTCTCATTCTCTGCTCTCACCCTCTGTTTAACACACACATCGATGCAACTTTTGTTCCCATTAGTTCATAGAGTTTCATATCAATAACAGCCCTGCTTAAGTCTGATCTCTAGTTGGTTCTATCTACCTCCTTCCCTCTGTTCGGGACTTCCACCCTGGCGCTGATCAGGTGACTAACACTCAATGGCAGAACAGGGCCATGTGATGCGCACACACACACAGAAATGCCTTCACACTTCAGGGTCTGGGTCATATGATGGCAGAGGGAGTCGGGTCCATATCCCAAACTAATCACATGGGCTAATAAAATCTGAAACGGTTCCTTTAGTGAATCACATGGTAACGCTTATGCATCAAATCTCTGTGACTCAAAAGGGAAAACGAAACTCTACAAGATTTCTTAGTTTTCTTTGCATGGTTTTAAAAACAGGAGAACGCAGTGAGTGAGTGTAGGAAAACTCAAGGAATGACTTTTTGGGTTCAGTTAAAGGAAAATGAACCACTACAGTGAACCTCCTCATTTTTTATCATTTACTTTGTTGGTGTTCATGTTCCCTCTACCTGCCTCATTTACTGTACTTTATACTCAGATATTTATTTTGTTCCTTAATTAGAAAACATTAGCGGTAGATGGCTAAATAAAGTCAGAGAGCGCTATAGCTTTAACATAAGAACAGGAAGTGAGAGCAACTCAAGAAGAAGCATGTCCTAGTGTGGTTGTGGATTTATAGTGTAAATGCTAAGCCCCACTGCAGTATATTTACTATAATACTGCACTTGTGTACACTTTTAAAAGTATTTATTTGAATATTTACATTTTATACTACTTTATATATGTACTTCTGGCCCATACTGTAGGTTGGGACCCACTAGACTATACCTCAGTGTATAGACGACAGTAGAATGGTTCTCATGCATTAATATGTTAATAACAGATCAGTAAGAGGGGACATTTATCAGCACAGTATTTAGACTTTTGATACTATAGGAAAAACGTATTGAAAATGCTTTTAATTAAGTGTTATTTTGAATGCAGAGCTTTTAGCATACTTTTATTTGCACTAAGTGAATCGTCTTACTTCTACCACCAGTGACTGGAGCTGTATGTGAATATCAAGAAGTGGCATGACATCATTTACTTGTTAAAGGTTTTGAGCAGTGATAAAAACAACTCACTGACTGAAGTGAAGCCCAGAGGGCTCCGTAGTACAACCTGTTCACCTGCACTTTAAAATGGAATAGAATGTATTTGTACACTAACAAATATAGGCATGGAAACGGCGCATAGGGATGAAGTTACTGGCAGACATTTCACACCCTTTGGTAGGTTCCCCCATAAAGAAACCCTCCTCGGTGTCACCCGACGGTGGAGCGTTACATCAAACGTCAGGCCACGGCGCGTCTCCGTGGCCTGACGTGCGTAACGATGCTCTGTGACCAATCACAGGTGGGATGATGGACGACGACCGTTTAGGGGAAATCAGCAAAATCATTAACCGAAAAGACATTTGGCATAAAAAAAAGAAGTGGGCATGAATGATAAATAATGTCATTATAATTTAGATAAAATGACACAGGGTAAGTGACACGAGCAACCGGAACCGGGAGGCGGAGGAATATGAACACGGATCTTTCTCATTTTCTGAACAATCTGGCTTCGCTCTACTGCACATTGTAGCCTGTGTTTACTAACAGCTGCTGGCAAAACATGAAAAGACAATAGGTGAGGATGTTCTGCCCCAGAAAACATCTGTTTCATGGTCAGGGTGTCAGAGAACCACCAGGCCTTGGTTACACCTTGTGTGGTGGGTTACACTCCTGGAGCCTAGAAATACACCCCGCCCGGTTTACTGTGCTGGTTTCCATCCGCACGCCCTGTTCATTAATTATCGGTGAGTTTCCAGGGTCTAAATTTGCAGTGAGGACACATCACGGGTCTCTTGCAGCAACGACAACAGAGAGACACCCCCACCACCACCACCACCACCATCACAATCACACACAAACACCAGTACCGTAAAACCCGCTCTTACCCAGGTCAGAACTCTGAGGATGGTCTGCGGTTGTTTGGCGAAGGTAATCGGATCCATGGTGGACCCGGCCCGGCCCGCTCCGAACGACCCCACTCCGTCCATCGTCGGTGGCTCTCTCGGTGCCGGACGCGACGAAGGGAGGAGCATGCACGACCAATCGTGCCCGCGCCACAGTGTAATATTATCATACGGGTAATTTTCTATAAATGTTAATGTGACAACTACTGGAGAGTAACGTAGTAGCCACCGTAAGGCTGCTCTGTTACAAGTTTAGGTGCTTCTACTCTGAGTAGAACTCATTTCAGAGGCAAATCTACTTTTCATCCTCTACATTTATTTGATAACTTTAGTCACTTCTCATAATCAAGTCTAAAACATCATGATCTTTGCCTTTCAAATGTACGTTTCACCTGCAACATTAAAATGATTCATACAATAACGCATCTGTAATTAGAATCCAGATATATACTTATGTGAAATGTACCATTTACTTGTGGTACTTTGAGTATATTTGGATTTTAATACTCATGCAGTTTTACTTAAGTTAAAATTGGAATGCAGGACCTTTACAGTACTTTATATTTCTATGCTGTGGTCTTTCTTCTCTTACCTAGGACCTATAATAAAGGATGTGTGTACCTCTTCCACCACTGATAGGACATTAGGAGTAATACACTGTAATACATTCACTGTAAAAAGTCAGTGAAATTAACAGTAAGTGCTGCAAATTCATGACATCAAAAAACTGTAATTAGAAAACCAATGAAACTGTTTAATTTACAGTCATATCTAGTAAAACAGTTCATTATAAAGTCACGTTTCTTTGTAGAATTTCCATGTTGCTGTAGTTTAAACACAGACAAACTTACAACTCCTTGACACTAAGTGAGGATAATCACCTTTATTTGGCCAAGTATGTTACACACAAGGAATTTGTTTCCGGTACAGAACCAAGGCAGCCATCTGCGGCGCCAACTCAAACGATGGCTCTAACCATCAGGGGTTTAGTGTCTTGCCCAAGGGCACCTTGACATGTGGATTGCAGACACTGAGATTCGAACCTCTGACCGGGAGACGACTGCTCTATCCACTGAACCACAGTTGGCCCCATGTTTGCACTCCTCCCCTCTAGATGGGGCTACAGGTCACTACCACCGAAAAACCTCTCAGCTGGTCTTTCCCCAAATAAATAAAGGTGATGATGATGAAGTATGAAATGATGTAAATAAATTAACATGCTCAGCAGGCATACTACCTCACAACACACCCAAACTGAGCATTATTACTATGAAAAAACATTCTGTAATCATTTTCTGACATATTTACATGTATTTTGTAGGTGATTGCTTCAACCATTGAGAATATTTTTCACACATTTAAATGTACAATATTTTGTGTTATATTGAATATTCTGAGTTAGACAAGACTCAAGCTTTTGTGCCAACTTTGTGTCATTTTGTATCCTTATTTTTTTATTACCATATCAGTTATATAACTAACCACTCAACAGGAGCTGTTTGACATTTACAACACATCTGTCATCACAGGACATTCCTCTTCTCAACAGAGGTGAGCTCCACGCCTTGGACTGACAGGAGGACGTCTTCCTCTCCGGTCTCAGCTCAGGCCTCACATCTCTCAGCAGCACCCTGACACAGTCCCTCAGTCACAGGAGCCATCTTTCCATCCATCTCTCCACCTCTCATCCACATGGGAGCAGTCAAACTCAGGCTTGCCCAGTCGGATGTTGATGTCATTATGAAGGTGACACAGCCACTGAGAGAAAGCATGGCGACTGCTGGTGTCTGGCTGATTGGTTTTTAGTCTGTGGAGAGGAAATTATGTTATTTGAAAATTACCCCCTCTTATCTAATAGCACCTTAAATTGTGGAAATCTGGTAGCTGAAGATCTGCTTGCAGCCTGGATGGTAAAAACACAACTGGTGCAGTAATGTGATTAGTGGATAAGGGAGTAAAGCATGTAAAATTGCGGCCTTTCATCTTGAGGCTTTTGCACAAACACCATGTCTGACCTGCCCCTGAGGTCTTCTGCACATTCGTCACAAGGGAAGAATTTGGAGAAAAGGTTGATGAACTGCCCCATCTCTTGCTGCTGGGTGGAAGATGGATGATCAGGGTAATATGCTGCCACGGTGTGCAGGAAGGACCAGGTGTTACGGCCCAGCTCTTCCCTGTCCAGTGGACACTGGGGGTCTTGTTGTGGCTCTGCAGCTTGGGTCTCCTGGAAGTAAAAAAAAAAACAACACATCTGAACATAGAGCTGCACACAGCAAAGTCAATATGTTGGCAATTCTAATAGACAGGTAGGACAGCCAAATGCATTATGTGTTTTATTGTGGTTTATGGTGATTTGTAGTTGGATATGCAGTACATGTCTTTACATGTCAGAGTATCTTTGACCCTCCTGTCCAGTCCTACAGGATGGAGTTCAGTATCAAAATAAACATCTTCAAATATTACTTTAGTTATGCTACCGATGAGTTTGCAGCAAATGCAGAGACACATTGCAGAGCTGCAACAAGTCACAATCGATTTATCCGATCAGTTATTGTTAAAACAAACAAACAAAAACCTACCATTTGAAAATTCCACTTTAGGCATTTTTCACATTTTTATGATTTTACAGACTAAACGATTCGTTGAATAATCGAGAAAACAATCTGTATACTAATACAAATCGTTGGTTGCAGCTCCATAAACTTTCTGTAGCCCATTTAATCAACAGACTTTTTAAATAAAGCTCAAAGATGGCAAAGCTCCGCGACAGTGACAATGTTTTAAAAAAAATCATATTAGATCATAAATCATCATCTGGTCAAATCTTTTCGATTATAAAAACCATATTCCAACGTTTCCACCAGAAATCGCCTTGACCTCCTCATGTCACCTGCGCAGCAGCTGTCGCCTGTTTCTTCTGGAGCTTCATCCACGTTTTAAAGTCCGTACAAGCCCTGCATGGCTTCTTCTTCGCCTCCTTCTGCTCCTGCTCTCTACCGGAGCTGTCCTCCGGTGGTCTGCCGGTCATTCCAAGCGAAAAACCTTCGAACCCAGGCGGACTGGAGGCCGATGGTCCTCCCGGTCCTGTGGACGCAGCCATGTTCGCTCTATATAAACTAGTAACTGACTGACCTGCAGTATCCTCATTCATCAGTAATGTCTGCTTGCTGAAATTATACTATCTATGAATGGACACATTATAGTTATTCAATAATTTACATTACCGCGAAGACATTCTACACAGTAATGTTAGCGATAAAATTATATACATGGGGCAAAACCTACGTAATAGTGCTTTCCTTGTTTCTTCCGAACATTTTACGGACCCGGAACGTCTTCCGGTTGATGATGTCGGATTTCTGTGCATGCCGCGCAGTGCAGCCGTTGTCAAAGTGTAAATTTCTATAATTTTACAACATTTCAAATAGTCGACATCACATGTATTATATGTAGGTGCTTGTTAAAAATGTATGTGTCGTGTCACTGCTTTTGTTACGGTTTGACAACAGTTTAGCGCCACTATTAGCTGTTTAGTCCGGGGAGGGGAACAACAAAGCTAACGACTGTGAAGTGACACGTTTGTGTTTTAATTTCTGTCCGTGACAGCGTAGCTGGAGACCACCTGAACTGTCACAATGGGGATACTGGAGAAAATCTCAGAGATAGAGAAAGAAATTTCTCGGACACAGAAAAACAAAGGTAAGAATGAGGGATGTTAGAGCTAACTACGGGTGAACTTGTAGCCAGCTCTGTGTGTGTGTGTGTGTGTGTGTGTGTGTGTGTGTCAGTTGTCAGTGTGGGGTTCCTCATTAATATCGCAAGGGGAATCTTGCTAACTGACACCGTGAGATCCATGACAGTGGTGGCACAGTTAAAGGGACAATCCTCCATTATTAGTTCGCCTCGAGGTAAACTTTAATATTATACATTGAATTCAAATAAACCCCGTGTGATGTTTGTGGTTGTATTTTGTAGTTGAATTGTAACCTTGATTTAGTTCTCTCCAACATTATTGTTCAGTCAGACCCCTGCAGAAGACACTCATGTCTTAATTTTTCATCCTTTTTTTCCCAGCCACCGAGTACCATCTTGGATTGCTCAAGGCCAAACTAGCTAAATACAGAGCTCAGCTTCTGGAGCCCTCCAAGTCATCGGGGGCCAAAGGCGAGGGCTTCGATGTCATGAAATCAGGAGATGCACGTGTTGCTCTTATTGGTTTCCCCTCTGTGGGTAAGGTATGTCAACATGGGTTGTGCTTCCTCATCTGGGTCTGAATGGTGAAAAGGTGCTTTTCTCTTTCTTACCCATGCTTCCTTGTAACTGTACAACTTCCTGTTGGTGTCCTGCAGTCCACCTTCCTTAGTTTGATGACATCAACAGCCAGTGAAGCTGCTTCCTACGAGTTCACTACGCTTACCTGCATACCTGGTGTCATAGAGGTAAAAATACAGGTCACATCAATATATTTGTTCACATTTGCAGCTTTAAAGAATTGACACTGTTATTTGTTGCTTTTCAGTACAAAGGAGCCAACATCCAGTTGCTAGATCTGCCAGGAATCATTGAGGGTGCTGCGCAAGGTACACATAGCCTCCATGTTGTAGTTTGTTTGAAGCACTGACTGTGACAATTATTTTTAGGTTAGAAAAAGTGAACTAGTTTCCTGGTGGTTGTGATATACTCACCTTTGACATTTTACAGGTAAGGGTAGAGGTCGGCAGGTCATTGCTGTTGCCAGGACCGCAGATGTCGTCATCATGATGTTGGATGCCACCAAAGGAGATGTTCAGAGGTGGGTGAGGTTCTGTGTGTAAGCAGGTTGGTTAGAATGAGTTTGAGGGGCCATGCGAGTGTAATGGGTTTTCCTTTGTGCCTTTAATGTTTCTAGAGAACTTCTAGAAAAAGAATTGGAGTCAGTGGGAATCAGACTCAACAGGACGAAACCAAATATTTATTTCAAGGTACTGTTTCTCTTTTTCTCATCTTTTAGTACAAGTATAGTATAATGTGTAAAATAAATAAATCAGTGCAACCTTGTTGGGTCCAGAAATATATACTCAGGTTGTCATGTTAATGTTGTGCCTTTTGTTTCTCCCTGTAGCCCAAGAAAGGTGGTGGCCTCTCCTACAACTCCACACTTCCTCTCACCCACTGTTCAGAAAAGCTGGTTCAGCTCATCCTTCACGAATACAGTATCCTTCATGGTGCCGGTGACAGAGTAGGCAGATGTGTGAGCATTCTCCCGTCCCTGTGATCTATCGCTCCCTTGCTTTTCTTGTCTCTAGGGCAGCCAGTATTTCAGTTTGTGGAATATCATGGACAAGAGGTGCAGTGCAGACAGAGAGGATTAGGACATGAAATATTCAAATGAACATGGAAGTAACAAATTGGTCACTTTACAAGCATTCAGTCAGATTATGTGCATTTCCAGATTTTGACTCGTAGCTATAAAACAGTCAGAAACCACAAAGGACTACCAGGTTTTAAACTATGGAGGCAATCTGACTTAAGAAAGGCGTGTTTGTGTCAGACTCTCCTGTGCTGTCGATGCTGGTCTCTTTTTCCTTTCTTATGAACGTCACACATTGATGACCCACAGTAGCATCTGGTTGACTTCTTTAACCCCTTCTCAGAAATCTTTAATGCAGAAGTCCTCTTCAGGGAGGACAGCACACCAGACGAGTTCATTGACGTCATCGTTGGGAACAGAGTTTACATGCCTTGCCTATACGTACGTTAATACACATCTGGAGGTTGGATCAAAGCCTCCTTTTTTTGGGTGACCACTTTTGGTTTTTCAAAAGAGTTGGTTTGAAAGGATTTTATTAGTCCAAAGATGGTTTCAGGTTTTCTTTTTTCAACTCAGGTCTACAATAAGGTGGATCAAATCTCCATCGAGGAAGTGGACCGCCTGGCTCGCGAACCTCACAGTGTTGTCATCAGGTGTGAATAACAGTAGTTTAGGTTGAAAGCTGCCATTGTATTCTCTGCATGTAAGTATTTATATAAATTCAGTTGTTCCCCCTTTTCTGTACACGTTTATTTCAGTTGTGGGATGAAGCTGAACCTGGATTATCTTCTGGAGACGCTGTGGGAATACCTGGCTCTGATTTGCATTTACACTAAGAAAAGAGGAGGTACACGTCTGTGCTCATTCACTGATCATTCCAGCACATGAATATGTTGCTTTTAGATTAAAGTTCTGTTTATTTGTTGTTTCTCCATCAGAGCGCCCTGATTTTAATGATGCCATCATTATGAGAAGAGGTGCAACAGTAGAACATGTGGTCCGTAAAGCACAACACTATGAGAACATTTAGACACTCATAATAACACTACAGTTAGCAGTTTCTATGAATGATCGTAAATCTGCTTTTATTGTGGTCCCCCTTCAGTGCCATCGAATCCACAGAACCTTAGCCAGCCAGTTCAAATACGCCCTGGTTTGGGTAAGTTTTCAGAGGCAGTGACCTTGAATAAGCTCACTCATTGTCTATAAACTGTATGAACAGACTCTGTCATGTCCACGTGCTCTAGAATAAACAAAGATAGTTTGTAGATGTTATGATTATGGGCCTTCAGACACACGGTGACTGCTGCACCTCTAGTGGTGCCATTAGAGCTGCAGTGGGAAACGAGTCACAGTTCAATGTGATTGTGTTTAGTTTGACATAAGGAAAATGTATTTGTCAATTTATTATGAAAGTCTTCAGCACAACGACTCATGGGACATAATTTCTGCTGTAAACCAGGGACATGGTGTAAAATGACAAAACTGTAGACTCATAAACTACCATAGCGGGCTTCCACTGCTTAGTGTTTTCTGCCACTGATTGATTGTAAACATTTGGTCATAAACTTGTGTTATAGTAGTCGTATGGCTGTGACCTGTGTCTCTAGTGAGAACCAGTCAGATACGAGGTTAATTAGTGTCCCAAAGCCAAAATTTGTTCCAGTATTCCTAAAATTCAGCTAATATTCATTAGGTGCCACTTATACACTGATAACTCATTCCAGCCATACTTTGAATGTGCAGTAATTTAACACTAGGAAAAAACTTAATTAAACACATTAACAGAAATTGCATGTTTATATTTTAAGATATTTGGGTGCAATTTTATACTTCCTCAGTGGATTTCACAAGAAAAATATATTTTCTCCCAGCTGGCAAAATGTGGATGTGGTGTGAAGACTGCACCAACAAATAACATGTTGAAAAACCTTTTGTTTGCTATTTGTAACTCTTTTCATTCTTGAAAATGGTCATAATACAATCATGAAATGTTCTTGTCTTTCATGCTGACAAAATGATAAACTGTCAGTAAACTGTGTGTTTACACTGCCTGTGCTTTAGCTTTGTTAAACCTCCATGTTTGCAGAGTTAAACACAGCTGCAGCTCATCAGATGAACCATTGTTAAACTTTGGTTCAATTGCAGTGAGTTGTGCTGTCTGTTGTTCTTCCAGGGAACCAGTACCAAGTACAGCCCGCAGAGGGTCGGCTTAACGCACGTTATGGAGCACGAGGACGTCATCCAGATTGTTAAGAAATAAAACAAGCTTGTGACTGGACAGGAGAGACTTAGCAAGAGGAGTCAAATTTTTGTTGGAGTTGAATTGAGGAAAAAGTACTGTACAGTAGATGTACAGCAATGGCCCATAGCCACCATTCTTATTTTGTATAAGATAATTAATAAAAAAAGATTAGAGACATCAGATTTGGATTGAGGAGAGGAACCAGTGTATTTTATCTTTTGATTAAGATAAGACATTAATTGAGATGGAGAAATAAAGTCCATAAAACATTAAATAAGTCCTTGTGTTTATTTTATTAAGTCAGTCTAACCTTTTATTTATATTTGTAGTTGTTACATTTTCACTGCATCTCACTTGGATTAGATTCAAACAACCCCCTCATCCGGTTTGGTGATGCAGTGGTTGGCGCTGTCCCCTCATAGCAAGAAGGTTCCAGGTTCAAGTCCTGCCTGACCCGGGGCCTTTCTGTGCTGAGTTTGCATGTTCTCCCTGTGCCTGTGTGGGTTCTCCGGGTACTCGACTTCCTCTCACAGTCCAAAGACATGCAGCATAGGTTGACTGGTGACTCTAAATTGCCCGTAGGAGTTGTTTGTGGTTGTTTGTCTACATGTCAGCCCTGTAACAGACCGGTAACCTGTCCAGGGTGGACCCCGCCTCTTGCCCAGTGTCACCATGGCTCCATAGGTGGTAACCAGTGATGTGACTTTCCGTCAGAGTGAGAGAAGCTCTCTGTAGTCCTATGAACCTGTAAAATGCTGCTCTTCAAATAATATTTGTCTGATCTTTCACTGCAATTAAAATGACTATGAACATGCAAATATTTTTATTTAAAATGTAAAGATGAAATTGAAATGGTTTGAACACTTGGGGGCAGCAGAAACAAGCAGTTAATGTAAACCTAACTCACCATTTAAAGTTTACTCAAACCAGTATAGCAGACTTGCACATCCTGCAGTTCCAGAATAACATTAGCATTCACCTGGAGTCTGATATTCATTTTCCTTTTAACTTTGTTTTGGTCCCCACTCACTCCTGGAGGAAAATATTTGGCTCTTTAGCCCCTAGTCAGATGTGCATAGTTAAAACCTATCTTCCACCGGGGCTGGCCCCCTCTGGGTGGAGCTGGGCTTTGGCCAGAGGCGGGCTCCTCTGGGTAAAGCCCCCTTTATTTGTTGTTTGTTGCAAGGACACTGCAGCTGTTTTTTTGAGCCATAAGAGCGAATCAGAACGGCTGCAGACAAGATGATGGAGTGTGGTCATCTTTTTCCAGAAGCTGGGTTACAGTTAATTTAACTCTAATGTTTAATTCTAACATTAACCATTACCCCAAACTGTAACCCTAACCACAAATGGAAACAACAACTGAAACCCCATGTAGCTCTGGTTTTCTTGGAACCCAGGTTAAACCAATCAGGTGCATGCGTTTGACATGCTGTCAGGCCTTTTTTGTTTGTGCACCTTGGTGCCCAGAAGGCTGCAGCTTGTAATAAACTGTAGGAATGAATGGTTGTAATTGTGTGATTTTGGCTGGTGTCACTAATGGTTTTGGAAGAGGCCCACCCTCAATACGATTTCTAGCTCTGCTAGGGTCTGGAAGTCATTGTTATTAGAAAAGTTGATTATTTTGAGGCTTTAAGTTCTGGAAATAAGACGTCTGCCACTTCACTGAACAGTCCTCAGACCTGGTGACTCTTAAGTCATGGTACATGTGAGAGTTACATACTGGACTAGATGAGTTGTCCCAAGGTATATACATCTTGAACTGGGATTTCAGATGAGCAGTACCCTTTACAAAAGCAAATACAGCAATACCTCAGTGTAAAATACCTATAAGTAAAAGTTCTGCCTTTAAAATATAACTTATGTAAAAGTATAAAAGTAACAGTACATACTTAAAGTTTCAAAATGAAAAATACTCCTATGCAGAATGGCCCATTATAGAATAATATGCAGTGTACAGTATATCATGATTGGACTGTTTATTAATGCAGTAGTGTGCACATGTTGCAGGTGAGCTTAACTTTGGCTACTTAATATACTGCTGGACAACCTGTGAATTTTCCCTGGGATTAATAAACTCTTAACTCATAATAAATAGTAAAAGTTCTGCCTTTAAAATATAACTTATGTAAAAGTACAAGACAATGTTATCTTTCTGACAGGAGTCGGTCAGGTTAGCATCCTGAACACAGTGATGTCTCCCCCGCTCCAGGGCCGGCTGACTGTTTTTCTTTCAGAAGGTATGGACTCCCAGCCAATGCTCCCCATTCACTCATGCACACACACACAAGCACAATAGCACCATTAAATATTCACCAGCACCTCTTCAGTCTAGGAGAGGAGACTGAGTGGGAGACTTTGCGATTGAGCAAGAGAGGGGCTGTGTATTGACACTTCAGGCCTTAAAGATGCCTTAAAGATGTCTCATCAGAGTGAACCATGGATGGAGAGATTCTGCTTTGGAATAACCTGAAGGAGGGAGGAATGGCGGAGGGATAATAACCTAGAGATAAACAAACAAAGGTATGGCCGACTGGGTGTGTATTGTGCGGAGCGGGCATGACACTTGATGCTGCTTGGCTCCATATGGCATGGCTAGGCGTGAGTGTGTGTGGTGCTTGTACACATGAGCAAGAACTGTCTCCAGTTAATTTATAAGCCTGTAAGTTTCCATGTATCTTGGTGTCATTAGTATGGTGTTTAGCTAAATTTCTGAAAATGAGATTAGTCTTGGTGTAGTTCTGATCCTGGCCTCTCAACCATGTAGCTTCTCTTAAACCAATTCAGTGGAACATGAGTTTTCCCAAGTGTAATCAAACCTAACTGGTTTTAGCTGACAGAAAACAGTGATACAGACTATCACAGTCCGCTGTTGTGTGTCTGTTTTGCTTTATCCTCATTTCATACAGAATGTAGTATAAAAATCAGCAATTCTATTTACACATATTTAATACTAAGAACTTATAAGATCTCCTGCTGTGCACTGATGAAATATCACTGAAACAGATCAACTGCTGTTCAGGACCAGAGGATTACCTGTTGGTTCCTAGAGTTTTATAGAATCGGTATATACTGTAGATGCTTTTTATTGGATTATTTAACACGAATACACCGTCCGGCAGATAGAAATGTTTCACTGGCGTCTGTGGGATGTGTCAGGACCCTGATTAGTTTGTCTACACTGCCCTCTTCTGCTTCAGCCTGCTCATTACATGAAGCTGCTCCTGAGCTCAGAATCTTTGCAGGTTATGTCTCAACTTTTAGGATCCAGTGTGGAGGGAGATTTTCAGCAGTGACTGGTGATGACAGCAGGGCTAGGTCCTATTTAGAAAATTAAGACAAGGATCAGATTTACGCCCACATATGTGCAGAAAGTCCTTGTTTATTTAGCCTGTTGACAAGAGCAGACTATGTTCTGCTTCATCACTAGTGTTTTCTTCAGTATGACAAAAGACTCCAGTACTGAGTTTACCATATATTCAATAAACCAGCAACAACAATGAATGAACAAACAATGAATGACTAGCTGTGTTTCTGCATGTGTAGACTGAGCATATGTACCTTTGTCTTCTACATAAGGTAAAGACTAACAGACAGTGGTGCAGTACATTTGCTTTTGTGTGAAGTTAATCTCTTATAAGGCCTTCAACAATTGCTTGGGGTCTTTCCCGTGCCTTCTTGTCCGCACATGTTTATCTGGATGATATAAAAAAGCAGAGCTCTACAGAGAAACACTAATCCTGCACTCATGCATTCATACATTCACACGCAAACACAATTTTTATCTATTTTTTGGCATTTTAAAGAGACAGGTTGCATTACTAGAAAGGAAACTGCCCTGCAAAGACTCACACGCCATATTGAACTATTTGATTTGATTTGATTTGATTTATTCTTTCAAGCATGTAAAAACAGTTGATAT